TTGTTGTTTTGCGGATGCGCCTCTTTACAGCGTCAGTTGCCGAGGTGGCAAGTCCAGTAGTGTCAGGGTAAGAAGGAATACGCGAAGACAAGCACAAAACCAAGCCACAGCCACACACCGACAGAATGCACTTGACACGATGCACTTGGCACAACGCACTTGGCACGATGCACTTGGCAAAATGCAACTTGGGCACAGTGCACTGCACAATGCACTTGGCAAAATGCAACTTGGCACAACGCAGCACTGTGTCGAGTGGCAGCTGGGAAGTTCAAGGAATGCACTGTTGCACTTTCATTTATTCAATATCACCGAAAAGATGTTTGAGGTTTGTCCAGGGATCTGGGTGGAAGACATATTCAACGCTGCACCCTCTGGGTGGCATGCGGAATTCTCTCAAACAGGGGAACCCCCCCCTTTTATTGACGCCTAACCTAAGTCATAGCACTTCTAACTAACTGGGGAGGGGGGGTCTCTCCTTCTAGTTGAGTCCCACTTTGGGGAGTCGCTAGGCCTACCCACATTAAAACACGAGAGGTACGCTCTTGCGATGCTCATGAGATGCCATCTGGACTTGGCGATGACATATTTGAGGCCCAAATCATGCCTTCTGATGTTTCGGCGAATCGGTCGGGAGCTACTCGTCGAGCTGAGGAGGATCAAGCAACTCCACGCGTCGTAAGCCATCAGGCAGTTCGGGCAAATTCTCATCCTCCCTACTCTTTGGCTCACAGCCACGGCTCAGATCGAATTCCTCTGGATTCTGAACCATGTGGGCAAACTGCTCAATGGTCATCTCCTTGTAATCGAAGTTTAACTTCTTGAGGAACGCGACTTCACCCTTCTGAGAGGTCCCCAAGCTTCCATTAAGCTTGGTCACAACCTCACTTCCCCGCTTCCCGCAGATTCGCCCCAATGCCGAAGTTTCATACTACAGTGCTTTAATTGAAGGCTTAGGGTTTTTAGTCATCTCAACAGTAGCCCCGTCGGTCCTCATCTTCGTTAGACTCCTAAACCCAAGCCCCAGCCTCGCAGGACCCTGGACTCTAGGCCAAAAGCCAAGCAACGATGAGTTGGCAGCCTTCCTTATTCGCCTTGGTTTTAAGATGCAGCGGTCTCAACCTTTGGGGTTTAGGGTATAGGGGTGTAGGACCCTCAATGGTTTGGAGGTTTGTCAAAAGTTAGCATGAGAAGTGTTCAGCCCAGCCCAGAAATGATTTTTGCTTTTGAAGTTCTTAGTACGTGGAGTTTAGGCTTCAGGATCTGAGTGAACCCCAACTCTGCATTCATAAAAATGGCGTCGGGGAGCCTTGCATGTGATTGTTGCCCATATTGAGAACCAGGCGCACCCATGGCCTTTGGCCTTGTCCATATCGTCTTTGTAGAGGTAGGTGCAATGGCACCTCGTGGCACTTCCATGATGCTTCCCGTTCACGAACTTTAAATGCTTCCCATATCCTTTTGCTTTCTTGTCCGGCAAGAAGACGCACGAGGTGGCCAAGCCATTGTCCTCGAAGATCGCGTTCTTCACCAAGCAGTTCCATCCGGCTCCATGCACGCCAGGAAAGCTGACAATCACCTTCCGACCTTCCACAAAAGCCTGGAATCGCGAGCCGACTACAGGGATTTGCACCGAGCATGATTTCTCGTCCACCTTGGTGATTTCTTCGACGCTCACCTTTGTCGGTGTTCCCATCAACTCCCGTAACTTGGTCTCTTCTTTCTTCTTGATGACCTTGTCGTCAATCTTCTTCTTGATGGCCTTGTCGTCAATGACGACCTCTTCGGCGTCTGCGCCCGCCGGAGCAGCACAACAGCTCAAGAATGTCGACTGCTTCTCAAACAGAGCCTTCCAAATGGAAGACCAAGTTCCCTCTTCGATTTTGGTTTTGTCAGGCACATCTGGCACAATTTCTTTCTTGGACATGCCCAAGCGGTGCAGGAACTCCCTTGCCCAGCTTTCTGCTTTCTGCTTTCCAGCCGTGCTGCAGCAAAACTGCCAAAAAACAAGAGTCCGACAGAGTAGGCGTAGGGGAGAGCCTTCGTATCTTGGGCGATTTTAACTTTAACCCTTCGGGTTGAGACGCGGCGTAACGAGTCGATGTACAGTAGTTGTGGTGAACGTAGATGGCGATCGGTCTACGAAACTTCAGAACTACTGGTTCGGGGTTTGGCGTTTCAAGGTGTAGGGGCGCAAGGGGTTTTTACCTGCCTAACCTCAGTGGGAATCGGTAGCCAAACACTGGGACATTTGTGTGGATACTAGTAGGCTGAGGAGGAACCCGCTGACTCAGTCACACAGAAAATCAGTACGGTAAGCCACATCATCAAGGGAGGGATTCAGGGTTTAGGGGGTTTAGGGACATTTGAGACTTGTGAGCTTGAACACGGATGACGGCCGCAAGCAAACAACGCCTGCAAGCACCTTCCACGATTCCGTGAACACACATACAGACACGGCCCACGCTGAAGCGCTTTTTTGGCGCACGTCCACATCCTGGCTTAGGTCGGCGAGCATTGCAGCATCCCGACCTTAGGCCATGCGAGTAACTGTCAGATAGCAAGTCAAGGTCAAGTGGCTGGGCTGCGAACTCCAAGACAAGAAGAAGGCATCCTGATGCAACGGAAGCAGGAAAGCAGGCTCCCATTGGAGCCAGCAAAGGTAGCCGCGTACAGCAGACTCAGCAACACACCATGTAGGAGAGCAGCTGGAAGCGATCTGTCAATATTCGCCTTAGATGCCCACGATGACGGGTGCAGACCACTCAGAGGTCACGAGCTAGCACCACCTCAGCCACCGACACGACGGTAGAATTTGACGAGATGGCAAACCTCATCCACAGGCCCAAGAACGGTCCAAGCTTCGGAAGAAACAAAATATGGCATTCAATCAGCCCATCCCACAGCCCAAAACAAAACATCTCCCCAAGGCAAATGCTGGGGATATCCTTCGTCAATCCAAAACCAAAAACGGAAACGAACCGCCAAAAACGCAAAACCGCTGCCCTCGCCAGCATGCCTAACGCTTGCGACTTTACGCTGCCCATGCAACCCATGCAAGCACCGAAGAAGTGAGATGACAAAAAACGGCGGCCTCATCAGCAGGTGATAGCATGGAGGCACAAACCTGAAATTAGGGTTTAGGGTTTAGGGTTTAGGGTTTAGGGTTTAGGGTTTAGGGTTTAGGGTTTAGGGTTTAGGGTTTAGGGTTTAGGGTTTAGGGTTGAGCAGAGCTTGCCATGCTGAGCAGGATCTGCAGCTGCTACCTGAACGCTCTGAAAGCAAAAGTGCGACCACGGCTTCGCTTTGATCTGGCACGGCGTTGCTATCTGGAATTGCACCATGCTCGCCTTTGCCATACTGCCTAGACCCATGTGGTGGGTTGCTAGTTTCACGAATATTCGGTCTCAGGTGATTTTCTACCGATCCAGTCAACGGCGTGCTGTCACGTGAGAGTACGTAGGATTCATGGGCACCTCAAGTATGGACAGTCAACACGAAGGAGCCCTCAACCCATATGGCAGACGGGTCACAGGATAGCAAATGTCGTGTCCACATTGACAGTGACATCTTGCTCCTTGAGATGTCGGGTTCAGCTCGTGCAAGGACTATAGTTACAACATCATGATAATAATAATAATAATCATAACAATAAATAATGCATAATAACAATAATAAGAATAATACGTAACAATAATACTAAAGCACTATGAGCACTCGAATGGCAGGGACCGTTTAGGTCGCTTCTCCAGCGGCGTCCTGTTCCGACAGGTCCATCTCTCCTTCGGGCAAGCTGTTCCACCTGTCAAAATACCTCACAGGAGGAGAAGGCAGCCCAGCGTTCTGGTGCTTGGAGTAGGCATGAGTTCAGCTGCCCTGAGAAGCGTGCTCCTCCTGTTCGAAGTCGAAGTCTTCATCTTCGACATGAACCTGCAACACTGGAGTCACGTGTTTCGCAACTATACCGCGTCCGCGTGGATCTCGGTTAGGGTATCACTCACTATTGACACTTTCCGCAACAAAGGCAGGATGGCTCGTCACTACAACGACATCCTTCCTCAAGCACTTATACACCGGAACGGGTGTGGACTGGACCGGTGTTCTGGTGTTCCCCGCAAGTAGCTCACACGATTGGCTTCAAGATATCATGAAATCGGCAAGTCAACGCACATCGCCGCACCACGGGGAGGTGCGCAACTGGGGTAGCATGAACCAGGGGTCCACTTCAGGCTACACTACTATCCCGCAGATGCAGCAATGCCTCTGCTGGGACGACGAAGGGACCGAGCTGTGTCTGAATGAGCTCCTGAAGACTCTGCAGAATCTGCAGGCGCAAGAGACTTTATTTGCGACTGATGGCCTTCACGGTGTCCCTTTCCAGGTCCAAAACCTCAGCCCCCAAATCTGCAAGCAACAAAGAGGGTTTAGGGTTTAGGGTTTAGGGTTTAGGGTTTAGGGTTTAGGGTTTAGGGTTTAGGGAACAGAAACATGCAAGGCTTCCCGGCCAGCCTTCACCGACCAAGATGGCCTGCACAAAGCACAAAAAGCGACTCCCCGCGCAAACGTGCCATGACGCGCCATGGGTCAGAGCGCTTTCCCTGAAAAATTTGCCAGAGGTGCTCAGCGAGACTTCCCCACAGGTTTTCGAACAAGGGAGCCCTGCCAGGAAGCAAGGGCACACGAACGGCACAGGAGCACACAAGGGCACAAAAAAAGGGGCACACAAAGGGTACGCAAAGGGCACACGAAGGTGTACTCTTTGACTGTGGCACCGCACGAGACTTCCTGAGGACCCAGCCAAAAGACCAGAGGAAGGCGCACAGGAAGGAACAGATCCTGCAGGGTTTTTGGTGTGATCTAGCACACAAAAGTCAACTAAGTGAGCATCACCCGCTTGTCACCTCAGCAGATCAAACATTCGTCTACGTATGGGCAGTTTCCAGGCCAACCTCATGGCACGAACAGCCCTGAGACCCAGGTTTGCAAAACACTGCAGCACCCTCCGAGTTTGAGACAAGCCAGATGAAGCCAGTGTGTCAGATGATGGGGGAACCACGCTCTTGGAGCGTGTCACCTCTTGACTGTTTTGACCTCATCTACGTTAACAGCCTTTCGAGCGCAGCGCATCACTCGCCAGTCAGCGTCTGCAGCGAGGAGCACGGCATGCTTGTAATGCTTCTGCAAGCAATCAGGGCTCAAGGCACACAGGCACTTAGCCACCGCCAGCCGGACTGCCCAATGTGGATCAATGCTGAGGGATAGAAGGAATGTCAAGTCCTTGTCACCAAGCTGCTTCAGTACCTCCGGCTTTGACAGTGCCTCCGTTGCATTGCAGCGGAGGGTTGGATCCTCGTCTGCGAGCAGCGCCAGGTGTTGCGCAGCTGATTCCGTGCCCAAGCGTTCCATTGTGGCCGCAGCTGCTCGCCTGACACACTGAAGCTTATGCTGCAATAACTCCGTCACAACCTCACTGGCAGCTGCAGCGGACGGCCCGCGCAAAGCACCAACCACCTCTACTGCCATCTTGCGTACAGCTTCAGAGGCGTCTCCCAAGGATCGAGCCAGCTTCACGGCAGAAGGCTCTGTAAGTGATAGTGCTTGCTCCTCCTTCAACTTTCGCATTGCTGCCACGCGTGTTTCTTCGCAAGGGTCATCGAGGACGCTCAGCCAAGCCAGGACAGCTTCTGGCGCAGCACTTGCTGAGGCATCGGTCAGTGACCGCACTGGCTCTGCCTGCTTTCTGAGACGGTGTATGACCGAAGCCACGGCGCACCGGGTATCAGCAAGCTCCGATTGGAGAAGTGGCTCCAGATGAGGGATCAGGGCCTGAAGTCGAAGAACGCCTTCCTTGTGACTCTCTTCCCCATTGCTGACCTTGAAGTCCAACAGCGTGCGTTCTGCAACCTTGCGGGCATCCGCGTCCGTGCTGCAGAGCTGTTGCGCTGCATGGGCCACAGCACTGGCAGCGGCTTGGGCCCCGTTTCCCATGTTCAGCCCTAAGCTTGCAAGTGCTGCACCCGCTGCCTTGCGCACAGAGGGGTCTGAATCCGCCAGCAGCTTGGCCACGTCAGCCGCAGAATCGATAGATCTCAGCCTTCCGAGTGCCTGAACGGCCAGTGTGCGCAGCCGAGCATCGTGAGCGGTCGTGAGCAGGCACAGGGCTCTGTGATGTTCCGGCTTGGCAAGAGTCTCCAGTTTGCCCGTGAGCTCTGCAGCCACCCTTTTCAGGTGGGAAGAGATTCCGTCCGTGTTTTTGTCGGCCATCCATTCCAACAGCTTCGGAGACTGTTCCAGCAAGTCCTCTCGCGGCAGCAAGCTCATGTCCTCTGCCTCCTTTAAGCGAGCGGCAGATTGCTCAACCCAGAAGTCGTGAAGACCGGGCTGCTTCTGGCTGACTGATCCTGACCCTGCATTGACTTCAGCAGCGAAGGCCAAGGAATCGCGCATCCGTCGTCTTGCCCGCCGCTTGAGCGCCTGAGCCTCGTGCCGGCTCGTGGATTCTAAGGCCTGCCGGGAGTGCTCTATCTCGGTGATCTGTTTGTCTGGCAGCAGATCCAACCATTGCAGCTGCATCTTCTGCAGCTCATTCTGTTGATCCTGAAGTTCTCGCTCCTTCTCCTCCTGCTCTTGCTGCCATCTAGCTACTTCGTGTGCTTTCTGCTGGGCCTGCTGCACGAGATCTGCGAAGTACGCAGAGCCCGGGACCTTCGAAAGCGCACTCTCCGCACTCCCCAGAAGCTCAAGCAGGAGGTCCTCGGCGACCCTCAAATCTGTGTTTGGCCGCATGTCTTGACTGGCTGTTGCAGTGCTTAGTGAAGCACTCAGCGCTGCGGCAACCTCTTCGCAAGCATATCTTTTTAGAGCACCCCTTGCAGCAGCCCTTACTTCAGCGTGTGGATCACAGACACATATGTCTGCAACAGCTGGAGTCAGATCGGAAGATGGGGCCTCCTGTCTCTGCAGTGCATCAAGAGCACCTTTTCGCAGCCTCCAGTCATCACTTTGCAACAACTGCAGGACTCGCTTGTCTTCACCTATTGCACCAGCTTCCGCAGCTTCCGCTGAGGCGGCAAGGGTCCTTCGAATGAGCTGCCGGGCAGACTCGTCCGAGGATTCGAGTGCGGCCCTGATCTCGGGAGCACCGGCCAACTGCGGAGCACCCTTGAGGCTCAGAGCAGAGGCAGCGCCAAGCTTTAAGCGCCAGTCCGTGCTCTCGAGCCAAACTGGGAGATCTTCCCCAGGTTTCCCCACAGCCAAGTCTTCGGCCTCGCTCTGGGAGATGATGCGGTTTCGCATCAGCTCGCGCCCGGCCATCGTCAGCGGCGTCTGAGCTTGCGCCATGGCTTGGCAAGGATTCGGAGAGGACCCCCGGAAGACAGAGACAACTGCAACCAGCTTACCCGAGGGCCCCTTATGCCTGCGTACGCTGAGAGTGCCAAGAACCTTCACGATGTCCGTACCGCGCGTGGATGCACATGGAATCACATGTCTTCTTTGTTGCCGCTGGATACAGCAAGATTCAAGGAAGGCCAAGGAAACGCAAAGAGAAAGTACACCCCCTGCACTTCTCGTGACGAGGCGGAGAGGATGCCAGAGGTCAACCCAAAAAAACCGAAATCAAGCCCAAGTGTGCTGCTTTCCGGTCCCCCTCTCAACCCTCAACCCTCAACCCTCAACCCTCAACCCCAAAACCCCAAACCCTGAACCCACGGAGCGAACCTGGAAGGCAACCTCGAAGGCTTCGAGCCGTCCTAGCGCCCAGGCTGTGAGAGTCACTGTAGTCAGCTCTCTGACGTATAGGGCTTAGGGTTTAGGGATTAGGGTTTAGTGTTTAAGGCTTTTAATTTAGGGTTTACCCTTTGAGGGTACCCCCCTTTGCCAGCCTAACTATGAGAGGCAGAATTTCGACAGGTACCAAAAATGGGCCCTGTCATTGGAGAACGTACCATGAAACTTCGATTCAGCCAAGACGCCCAAGTACATTTGGCTCAGGCTGTCATTGAAGGCAATGTTGACCTGAGGTCAGGCGTATCCTCCCAACCACTAACCACTTGCTGCTCAATGGCCCTCCTAAGCCAGGTGCCCCAAAGGAGGTCGGGACAGGACTGAGGGGACGAAGGCGCAGAAGTAGCTTGTTCCTGGCACACACGGCATGCATCCTGACCGCTCAGGAAAACTCGTTGCAAACAGGGCTGCCCGGCAAACATGGAAAACCACCTCCATCGTCACCGTCCTACGAGCCAGTTGACAGCCGTCGTGCTACTGAAGTTGCAACATGCGACAAACTCTTTCAGGCGAGGAGCCACCACCAACCCGCCATCAGCTGCAATGAACCTGTAAATGCATTGGCCAAGGCAACATGCCGTATGTTGTTTGTGCGCGGCCGGCCATTTCGCAGCAAGCTCATGTTTCAGCACAGTCAACACCATTCGGCTTGTTACACCGAAGGAAACATTAGCTTCCATGCTCACTGTTTCAAGCCAATGGGAGGATGCTTTTCGTGCTCCCTTTGCAGCAAAGTGGCGGGATTCGAATGGGCTCAATTGGGACGTAGTGCTCACTTGATGAAAATGTCCTTACGGTTCGGGCAGTTTGCGGCTCAAAGCGTGATCATGACCTACAAGTTCGGCGCATCCATCTGACTGAGATACAGCAACTCCAGTGAGAAGAGCTGACGCGGGCATTCCAGGCAGCTGAAATCCTCGCCGCAGGGGCTTTTAAACTCTCGCTTGCAAAGGAACCCAAGCCAACCTCCGACGTCATGTCTGCAGCGGGTTCGTACTGCCTCGGAAGTATGTTGGACACCGGTGGTGGGCTTCGGCATAATGTGGCCACACGACACTAAGTGCCCTGCAACGTGAAGGGCAAACGAATGCTCGATGGAGAGGCCTGCAATCCGCTATGAGTACACTGAGTACACGAGCGATCGATGCATGATATGTATAAGATGTATATATATATATATAAGAAATACTATTAATACGATTACTACTAATCATAGTACTAATGCTATTAATACTTTTCATATTATTTATACTATAGATAATATTGATAGCATTAATAATATTAATAGTATTATTTTTATAAGTACTATTAATATTTTGAATACTTTGATTACTATATTCATACTACTTTTACTAGTAATGGTATTAATATTTTAAATACTAGTAATATTATTAATACTATTCGTACTATATTAATACTACGAATACTCCCAATATGATTTATAGTATTAATATTATAATAAGAAAGATTATGTATATTATTAATACTATACCCCCCCCCCCCCCCCCCCAGAGAATATTCACATAGACCCTAAAGGTCCTACGTACAAAGCCCTATAGGGCTCTACAAGTTCAAAGGCTTAACCTATAGGGCTCGAAAAGGTTCAAATGCATATAAAGTTTAGAATTTAAGCCTCAGGCTTAGGCATTTAAGCCCTTCAAACCTAAAGGGTTTAAAGGCTTAGGGTTTTTCAGGGTTTATCTCTAAAGCCCGACATGGGGTTGAACATGCCTTAGAGTCGAACTTAAAGGTTTAAGGCTTAGAAGGCTTGAGTCTCCGCCCTAAAGCTTAATTCATGCTATTAATACGATACTACTAATCATAGTATTATTAGTACTTTTCATATTATTTATACTATTGATAATATTGATAGCATTAATAATATTAATAGTATTATTTTTATAAGTACTATTAATATTTTGAATACGTTGATTACTATATTCATACTACTTTTACTAGTAATGGTATTAATATTTTAAATACTAGTAATATTACTAATACTATTAGTGCTATATTAATACTACGAATACTCCCAATATGATTAATAGTAATAATATTATAATCATAAAGATTATGTGTATTATTAATACTATACCCCCCCCCCCCCCTCCAGAGAATATTCACATAGACCCTAATTAAAGGTCCTACGCACAAAGCCCTATAGGGCTCTACAAGTTCAAAGGCTTAAACCCTATAGGGCTCGAAAAGGTTCAAAGGTTTAAACCCTAAAGGCCTATAGGCGCTGAAGGTATAAATGCCCAGACTCTTAGGTTTAAATGCATTTAAAGTTTAGGAATTTAAGCCTCAGGCTTAGGCATTTAAGCCTTCAAACCCTAAAGGGTTTAAAGGCTTAGGGTTTTTCAGGGTTTATCTCTAAAGCCCTGACATGGGGTTGAACCCTGCCTATAGAGTTCGAACCTTAAAGGTTTAAGGCTTAGAAGGCTTGAGGCGTCAGCCCCTAAAGCTTAATTCATGCTACTAATACGATTACTACTAATCATAGTATTAATTCTATTAGTACTTTTCATATTATTTATACTATTGATAATATTGATAGCATTAATAATATTAATAGTATTATTTGTATAAGTACTATTAATATTTTGAATACTTTGATTACTATATTCATACTACTTTTACTAGTAATGGTATTAATATTTTAAATACTAGTAATATTATTAATACTATTAGTGCTATATTAATACTACGAATACTCCCAATATGATTAATAGTAATAATATTATAATCATAAAGATTATGTGTATTATTAATACTATACCCCCCCCCCTCCAGAGAATATTCACATAGACCCTAAAGGTCCTACGTACAAAGCCCTATAGGGCTCTACAAGTTCAAAGGCTTAAACCCTATAGGGCTCGAAAAGGTTCAAAGGTTTAAACCCTAAAGGCCTATAGGCGCTGAAGGTATAAATGCCCAGACTCTTAGGTTTAAATGCATTTAAAGTTTAGGAATTTAAGCCTCAGGCTTAGGCATTTAAGCCTTCAAACCCTAAAGGGTTTAAAGGCTTAGGGTTTTTCAGGGTTTATCTCTAAAGCCCTGACATGGGGTTGAACCCTGCCTATAGAGTTCGAACCTTAAAGGTTTAAGGCTTAGAAGGCTTGAGGCGTCAGCCCCTAAAGCTTAATTCATGCTATTAATACGATTACTACTAATCATAGTATTAATTCTATTAGTACTTTTCATATTATTTATACTATTGATAATATTGATAGCACTAATAATATTAATAGTACTATTTTTATACGTACTATTAATATTTTGAATACTTTGATTACTATATTCATACTACTTTTACTAGTAATGGTATTAATATTTTAAATACTAGTAATATTATTAATACTATTAGTGCTATATTAATACTACGAATACTCCCAATATGATTAATAGTAATAATATTATAATCATAAAGATTATGTGTATTATTAATACTATACCCCCCCCCCCTCCAGAGAATATTCACATAGACCCTAAAGGTCCTACGTACAAAGCCCTATAGGGCTCTACAAGTTCAAAGGCTTAAACCCTATAGGGCTCGAAAAGGTTCAAAGGTTTAAACCCTAAAGGCCTATAGGCGCTGAAGGTATAAATGCCCAGACTCTTAGGTTTAAATGCATATAAAGTTTAGGAATTTAAGCCTCAGGCTTAGGCATTTAAGCCTTCAAACCCTGGGTTTAAAGGCTTAGGGTTTTTCAGGGTTTATCTCTAAAGCCCTGACATGGGGTTGAGCCCTGCCTATAGAGTTCGAACCTTAAAGGTTTAAGGCTTAGAAGGCTTGAGGCGTCAGCCCTAAAGCTTAATTCATGCTATTAATACGATTACTACTAATCATAGTATTAATTCTATTAGTACTTTTCATATTATTTATACTATTGATAATATTGATAGCATTAATAATATTAATAGTATTATTTTTATAAGTACTATTAATATTTTGAATACTTCGATTACTATATTCATACTACTTTTACTAGTAATGGTATTAATATTTTAAATACTAGGAATATTATTAATACTATTAGTGCTATATTAATACTACGAATACTCCCAATATGATTAATAGTATTAATATATTATAATCATAAAGATTATGTATATTATTAATACTATACCCCCCCCCCCCCCCAGAGAATATTCACATAGACCCTAAAGGTCCTACGTACAAAGCCCTATAGGGCTCTACAAGTTCAAAGGCTTAAACCCTATAGGGCTCGAAGAGGTTCAAAGGTTTAAACCCTAAAGGCCTATAGGCGCTGAAGGTATAAATGCCCAGACTCTTAGGTTTAAATGCATATAAAGTTTAGGAATTTAAGCCTCAGGCTTAGGCATTTCAGCCTTCAAACCCTGGGTTTAGAGGCTTAGGGTTTTTCAGGGTTTATCTCTAAAGCCCTGACATGGGGTTGAACCCTGCCTATAGAGTTTGAACCTTAAAGGTTTAAGGCTTAGAGCGCTTGAGGCGTCAGCCCCTCAAGCTTAATTCCCATAGGGTTACGCCTATGTTTGTATAGCGTAGGGCCTGCCTCATGTGGAAATGCAAACGAAAAATTAGTACCTACATCATGTATGCATATAGATACCAAATACAGATAATGGAGAAGGAAGGACGGTAAGCCTCGAGCCATAAGACTAGGAAGTATTCGGGCGCATTAGGGTGATGCGAAATATCTTTGACTAGAAGCCTCGAGGATGCGAGAATACTGTGAGCAAATATCTTTTCACTATTTCCTGGGACCACCTGGGGCGTATGTGGTGTTGATCAAAAGAAAAGATCTACTGAGTATTGAATATACAATAATCAGAAAATAAGACATATAACACCTGTTTATAAACACCCACCCTGTTTATAAACACCGCTTCCCAACAAAAAAATATAAAACGATGAAGTTGGTGTTGACGTTGCGCTACCTGGGCAGGAGGACGAATACGGTTTAGGACTTTGTTCTCGTTTCCGTGGGGCCTACATGTAATACAATAATATACCTACACTATGTGGGTAGAAGTTCCACCTTTTCATACAACACATACACCCTACATACATACACAGAGGGTTTAGGGTTCACTGCCAGTGCCAATGCAGCGACGAACCAAAGAACCAATGAACCAATGTACCAATGTACCAATGTTTTCGGCCCATGGTTGGTACAAAGGACGACCCATGACCCAATGTACCAATGTACCAATGTACCAATGATTTCGGCCCATGATTGGAACAAAGACGACCCACAACCCAATGTAGCAATGTACCAATGTACCAATGTACCAATGTACCAATGTACCAATGTACCAATGTACCAATGATTTCGGCCCATGATTGGTACTAACATCCTATGTACCAATCATGGGCCGAAATGATTGGTACATTGGTACTTTGGTTCATCCTATGTACCAATCATGGGCCGAAATGATTGGCACATTGGTACATTGGTACATTGGTACATTGGTACATTGGTACATTGGTACATTGGTACATTGGTACATTGGTACATTGGTACATTGGTACATTGGTACATTGGTACATTGGTACATTGGTACATTGGTACATTGGTTCATCTTGTGTACCAATCATGGGACGAAATGATTGGTACATTGGTACATTGGTACATTGGTACATTGGTACATTGGTACATTGGTACATTGGTACATTGGTACATTGGTACATTGGTACATTGGTACATTGGTACATTGGTACATTGGTACATTGGTACATTGGTACATTGGTACATTGGTACATTGGTACATCGGTTCTTCATTGGTTCATGCTATGTCCCAATCATGGGCCGAAATGATTGGGACGTTGGTGCCTTGGCGCGGTTGGGGTTATGTCCCAATCATGGGCCGAAATGATTGGGACGTTGGTACGTTGGTGCGGTTGGGTTCTTGTCCCAATCATGGGCCGAAATGATTGGGACGTTGGTACGTTGGTGCGGTTGGGTTCTTGTCCCAATCATGGGCCGGAATGG